GTAAGGAGAGGAAGCGAGACTTGGGCATATGCACGTCTCGGATAAGAGTTCTGAAGATGTCACATACAGAAGAGAGTAGCAGATTGCATTCCAAGTTTATAACGGCGGGAATATAATTATATTATTCTAAAATTGCTCTATGCACATAAGAAAATAATTACATGATTCATTAGCTGCCCTAAGCACTCAGAAAATAACTACCCGACTCACTAATTGTCCTCTGCACTCGACACAAAAATCACGACCCCCTTTTTACTCGTTCCGCAGGTCATCACCACCAACCCAGCCAAGCCTCCTGCAGAATTCAAGGCCCTGGGGCTGAAACACGTGCCCGCCCTCATCCACGGGGACGACGGCTTCGACGCCCTGGACGACATCGTCCACTACCTCGACACGAAGTAAGGTTGCGTTTGGCGGGAATTTCGAACTGAAGTTAGTCTTCGTCTCAATTCTGAACGAACTAGATCGTGAAATTCCCAACTCAAACGAGTACAATTTCAGGTTTCCAGGAGGTGGACTCGAATACAACAGCGCCGAGGCAGACCTAGCAACCAAAGACTTCTTTTCCAAATTCTGTTTCTACATAAAAGCCGTCAACCAAGACCCTTCAAAGCTCGACCAGGCTCTGCAACGCCTCAACAACTTCCTAGAACGGACGCACGTTGCAAACGGGATATCCAACGGAGATGCAAATCTTCAGGTGAGGAAATATATATATTTTTTTATGAATTTATTTTCTCACGATAAAAAAATAGGTTAAATTGAATAACTTTTATCGTAAACTGATACTGCCAATATAAAATCACCGGTTAGACAGACGATGAACAAGTTACCATCCTCACTAAAAACAACTTGTATTTATTCAGTGTAATCACAAAGTACACATACGTATGCGTATATACTGTCAACATACAAGAAAATAAAGACGCTTTCATCTCCGTTCTCTCAGGCTGACGAGGACGAGGGAAGCTCAGGTGCGCAAATACAGTACCTTGGTGGAAGCAATTTAACGCACCTTGACTGCGAGGTTCTGCCCAAACTACAGCATTTGCGCGTGGCAGCCAAAGCACTCAAGGATTATGATATCCCAACGAATCTCCGCGGTTTCTGGCGGTAAGGAGGAGGGAGAGGGAGAGGGAGAGGGAGAGGGAGAGGGAGAGGGGGAGGGAGAAGGAGAGGGAGAAGGAGAGGGAGAAGGAGAGGGAGAAGAAGAGGAGAAGGGGAGAAGAAGAGGAGAAGGAGAGAAGGTGAGAAGGAGAAGAAGGAAAAGAAGGATAAGAAGGATATGAGAGAGAGAGAGAGAGAGAGAGAGAGAGAGAGAGAGAGAGAGAGAGAGAGAGAGAGAGAGAGAGAGAGAGAGAGGGAGGGAGGGAGGGAGGGAGAGAGAGGAGAGGGAGGGAGGGAGGGAGAGAGAGAGAGAGAGAGAGAGAGAGAGAGAGAGAGAGAGAGAGAGAGAGAGAGAGAGAGAGAGAGAGAGAGAGAGAGAGAGAGAGAGAGAGAAACAGAGAGAAATGCCACGTTTATGAACCAAGTCATATGAACTGCCAGCCACTTGTACTAACACGACTTACGTTCCTCCTCACACAGGTATCTCCATGCTGCTTACACCAACCCAGTATTCATAAGGACCTGTCCCTGCGACCAAGAGATTATCCTCCACTGGCACGACAGACCTGAAACTCCGAAGCTCTCCCATAAAAAGCACTCCGTAATCGCAAAGGAGAAGGAGAAATATTCCTTCGATGTCCCAGTTCATGCCTGTGTGGTGACAGTGGTGAATGAATAGTTAATGGACATTTGTCTACACAATAAATTAATGATATTAATATTACAGAAAAACAAAAAACAAAAAAACAAAAAAATAAAAGTAGGATAGATTGATCAGTGTTTTGTTGTGTCTATAATATTGTAATATAATATATTTCATAAGTTAAGTTACAGTTTTGTATTTAAAGAGACTGTGAACTGTAGTCAAAAATTGCTGTGTAATATATATGCCTCTGTGACTGGGACAACATGACCCGTTTTGATTTATATGCTATAAATAAACAGCCCAAAGCTTTACATCACAGGGAATATGTCTTCTTAGATTATTGAGGCAATATTGTTCCCTTAAATGACTTTAATTCTTTTTTTTTAATTACTGGAATCAATTAGAATTTCCTTGAATAAATGGGAAAGATGCCCACACTGTACAATTCCTCAAATATTTTATATCAGGAAACAGACTCCACCTATTGGGATATGATAAAGAAAAACACGTTAAAAAATAATAAAAAGCCATGACTTTTTTTTTTTTTTTACTTTTCAAAAAAGTCGCTCAACTTGAAAACCACATGCTAGTCGAAGTAGCAATCAACAAGTAGGAAACTTAGTGTCAGTTCTACGCTAGTTATATAAACATATGCCAGTACTGTATCTATACATGCTAGAAAATGCCAATAAAAGAAACTATACTGCAACAACTTCTAACTTCCGAGTTGTATAATATTAACAATGGACATGAAGCTAAATATTAAATAACTATTGTATTATATATACACACATAATAAACATTTACTCTCTCTCTCTCTCACACACACACACACACACACACACACACACACACACACACACACACACACACACACACACACACACACACACACACACACACACACACACACACATGGTTATCATATTCATATACTCATGAATACCATGAAAAGAAAAAGAAGATAAAAGGAAAAATAACAATATCAATATATGTGTTGCTTGACTGAAGACAAAAAACAGTGACGTTCTTCCATTATTTTTTTCTTCTTCTTCTTTGAAATGTAGACGAATTATAATCATGACAAAAGGAGGTGTCAGGAAACGTCAGCCTACAAGCGCAGAATGAAAAAGTGGATGTCTGGAATGTACAAGTGCGAGAAGTTTTTTGGGTAATTTGATTGCCTATCAGTTCCGTTAACTTTGTACAAGATCTCTAACAGCATACATGTAGGTTATACAACAGATATACCAAATAAATAAATAAATAAATATATATATATGTATATATATATGTATATGTATATGTATACATATATAAAATGTGCACATATATATAAATAAATAAATAAATAAATAAATAAATAAATAATTATATATATATATACACATTTTTTTTTTTTTATCTAAATACACTAGTCAGATAATCTCAAAACCACTAATGAATATGATATAACCTGATTTTAGTTTGTTGCTTAGCTTGAAACAGACCAGTGTTTTGCCTTTATTCCAATCAACATTACTGTATACCAAATGGCCTAATTTCTCCAAATCTGAGCATAAGAAAGCAAGCCTTATTGTATTCACACCAATTTCATAGCAAATAATGCCAGTTAATATATTTTCAGAAATCCACATTTAGTAAATATGCCACAAGAGACTAAAAAAAATGATAAGTATATGTGTGCACGTATATAAAAGTAAATAAATATATAAATAAGTACACACACACACACACACACACACATCTATATACTTTTATACATATTAATGACAACAGATGAGCAGCTACAAACCCTTTTCTTTCAAGAGACAAAAAATAGCAACTATTTTTCAGTCTTGCCATCACAAAAACAACTTAATCATCAGTGTTGTGCCATCATATGTAAAGACCTAATTATGCAATAAATCATTAAAAAAAATAAAGAAAGGAAACCTGATGAAATATATTGAAATACATATATTTTTTTGTTCAGTAACCCAAACCTTGGATTTCCATTTGGAAAAACTGATGTACTTAATGTGTAATAATCACAACTCTTAATGATAATCACTGTATAAAAACTATCCTGACATATTCAATGCCTACACTTATTTCCAAACTTGTATATAACAGCAAAGGAGTGTGTTTTAAGAAACTTATTTCTTCTAAGTCTATGTCCGATATAATTTCCATGTGCCAAGGCTTATATCAGCACATTACTGAGCATGGAAAGCACTGTGTCCAACATTTAGTTTTATCATGGAACAATGATATATCTATGACATTTTCTAGTGTGGTTTCATTATCCTTTTAGAAATAAGGAGATAGGGACTGGGATTTTTTTTTTTTTACTTTTCAAAAAAGTCGCTCAACTTGAAAACCACATGCTAGTCGAAGTAGCAATCAACAAGTAGGAAACTTAGTGTCAGTTCTACGCTAGTTATATAAACATATGCCAGTACTGTATCTATACATGCTAGAAAATGCCAATAAAAGAAACTATACTGCAACAACTTCTAACTTCCGAGTTGTATAATATTAACAATGGACATGAAGCTAAATATTAAATAACTATTGTATTATATATACACACATAATAAACATTTACTCTCTCTCTCTCTCACACACACACACACATGGTTATCATATTCATATACTCATGAATACCATGAAAAGAAAAAGAAGATAAAAGGAAAAATAACAATATCAATATATGTGTTGCTTGACTGAAGACAAAAAACAGTGACGTTCTTCCATTATTTTTTTCTTCTTCTTCTTTGAAATGTAGACGAATTATAATCATGACAAAAAAACTGATGTACTTAATGTGTAATAATCACAACTCTTAATGATAATCACTGTATAAAAACTATCCTGACATATTCAATGCCTACACTTATTTCCAAACTTGTATATAACAGCAAAGGAGTGTGTTTTAAGAAACTTATTTCCTCTAAGTCTATGTCCGATATAATTTCCATGTGCCAAGGCTTATATCAGCACATTACTGAGCATGGAAAGCACTGTGTCCAACATTTGTAGTTTTATCATGGAACAATGATATATCTATGACATTTTCTAGTGTGGTTTCATTATCCTTTTAGAAATAAGGAGATAGGGACTGGGATTTTTTTTTTTTACTGTATTATTGTACAATATAATACAAAAGTACTTGGCACTTGACAAAGGATGCTACATTGGGATAAAATAGGGACAAAATGGCTTTTTGGTGAACATTTTTGTGACAAAGCTTTGCATACCACCAGGCTGCCCTGTAGTGTCATGCTGTTGCGGGCATCTCAAGAAGCGTAAAAAGCACCACCCTTTCTCTAATATACCCGGATTAATTGTGGTTACACATGCATTTCTTTCCTTTTTGTGTGCACTGTGCCATCTAACAAAGAATTTCCTAAGGAAACAATAGCACTGATAACAAAAGAGCAGAGGAAATATGAATCTGAGAGAGTCACAGGTAATCATTACAATATAGGTTGTAGGATCTAAGGAGGGTAGGGTGGAGATATGCCAATTCAGTAGTTGAGATCTGATCATCCTAAGAATGGCCATAACTTTGGTATAACACAATGGTGACGGGTGAAGAAAACAAAAACAAAGCCAAATAAATCAATAAAACTACGCTCTGGCAAACCATGGCAGCGTGCCGACTTTGAGTGCGTGAGTTCGGTACATCAGGCTGAATCACTGGCTCGCCACCGCCGTGTACAGCTGCACGCCACTTTTCGAGTGGTTTGTTTTCAAGCCTAGCAGTGTCACCCGTCGTAAAGGGGTTAAATATGGATGGTGTAGTCTAACCCTACATCAGAGGCTGGATACTTTTGTCAAGTGCTGTATGTTAATCAGATATGGCAGTTCTTTGAAAATATATAAAAACCTATACATTCATTAGCACAAGTGGAAAAGAAATATGGGAAAATCTTGTATCTAACAGAAAGAGAAAGCTCGTCAAAGCAAAGCAGGCCATCCATAGTTATGTTATGAAAGAAAAGAATCTTCAAAATACAGATCCTTTGCACAGGCTTACATGCTGCAATGATTCTCTGTTACTCACAAATTAAAATAACAAAGAAAAAATTAAAATGTTAAAGTATTGGGTGAGGTTAAAATATCGTTTGCCCTTCCATCTACTCAATACCTTAATTGGTGGTTATTTTATATATTCTATAAAAATATACCTTCTAAAGGTGGTTTCCTAACATCCAAAAAATTGAGGAAACAGGCATCTGAATCATTATAAAAACAAAAAAAGAAAAACTAATAACAAGATATGGAATCACAAAATACAAAAAAGATAGTCTTAATGTCATGTGGAAACTGCAATCTATCTCATACTTTTACACACATTTTTTTTTTTCCAAAACGACTGTGTCCAATGTGACTCTAGATATAAAAATATGGAATGGGAAATTCTCCCATAAAGTATGACTAAAAAGGTCTATAATTGAGCATTTAGGAGTAAAAATTCCCAATATAAGATAAACATAGGACATTTCTCTATTTGTCTATAATAAGCTTCCATACTACTATGGTATTAGACTGTTATATAATACACAAAACAAATAAAATACAAATGAGATGTATACAGATATCCACAACAACTACTTGAAACTCATTATTTATTTTCAAGTCTGTAGCTTGTGGCACTTTTAGATACGACCTCTGACATTATAGGGTGAAATTCCCAGTATCTGATGAAGTGTTTTAAGCAAATGATTTCTGGTAATTGTCAAGCTTAGGGCCTAGCCATGCAGTCGCTGTAGATCCAAATCTGTGCTCTGGCAAAGGACAACAAACATTCACTATGTATATTCTAGCACAAAAGAGCTTGAACTAGTTCCTTGTTTGATTAATTGCCAAGGAGGTTGTTGGCCTTTGCCATGCTCAATATGCGGATTACTGCATCTGCTAAAGTTTTATATGGTTTTGTAAATTTGAAACAGGAAAACAGACTTCTCCATTATACATATATCATACTCTACAGTCTTGCTAATGTGCAACATATTTTTTGTGGAAAATATCTGTGGTATACTGTGGTATACTGTGCTCTGTCATCTGGCGTAACAGTAGACTATAGAACCCATCGTACGCAAGTTACTACCATTATTCTCAGAATCAATCACACTCATTCATTATAACGATCTATAGCGTCATCTACATATGAAAAACAATCCAATTTCACAATTTCTCGAAGAACAAAGAAGCCCCGGAACCATAATGCAATTTCTTTTCATTCCGTGGGTGTGTTGAATGTTGTGCTAAAATCAAGAACCTTTGTCATTACAAGCCGCAGTTCAAATTACGAAGTATTTCCCTGAATTAAAGATAAGGTCATTGACTTCTTACTTATTTGGTAGAGAGTTTACCCGAAATACAGCATAAATAGAAAACTACTTACGGGAAAAGGAGTGTTTTTCTTCCGAATGTTTGGCGAGGCGTTTGTTTACAGGAGTTCCGAGCCTAAAACTTCTTATTAAAAAAAGACTATAGTACTAAAATTTCATTTTTAGATTTATACACGAAAATCACCAAAATAGCAAATTAATTATAATCAAATATGATCCTGTCGAAAAATAATTTGAAGATATCAACCTTTGGGTTCTTTGAAAATAAATTTGATTGATAGATGCAACAATACAACCACAATGTCAATATGTCGCCTTTCTATTGTGATATTATTAATATATGACTTGTTATTAACCTGAAAAAATTAAATAAACAAAAATCATGAAAATATAATTTGAAAATTAATGAATTTCGAGAAAATTCTCCAACACCATAACTACATCATTCGTCCCTTTAACGACAATTCCGTACATCCAAAATATTCAAAACCAACAAATAATACATAAAATTTCCAAATAAAGGACATAGAGGCTGAAAAAATATATATCAAAACGACGTCGGTGTAAATAAGTTCTATCGATCACGACCGACATGACAGACGTAAGATCCTCTCTCTCTTATTTTCTTTTATTTTTCTTGATTTAGGAGCATTTTTCTTGTTTGTTTTTGTTATTTACCCATTGGTTCAAGTTCATCGATTCATTTTTCATTCGTGAGATAAAGAGATATTAGCATTCTGATAGGAAAAAGGGGTTAAAAATAATCTTGTATTTTTTTTTAGTTGTGCATTTTGAGGGAATTTTAGGTTCTGTTTTTTTTTTTTTACGAGTTCTCAGCCTTTTATTTTCTTATATGCTTAATTAATATGCTATATATAATTTCTTATATGGTTAATTAATGTTCTTATATGCTTAATATGCCCACATTTTTTAGGGAATTTTATCTGTTTCTTTTTATGAGTTCTCAGGCTTTTTTAAAATTTTCTTTTATGCTTGATTCTTGTAATTAATAAAGTGTGTTATTTTAGGTGTATTTGAGCACGTTTCTGTGTAAAGGATAGACATACAGGTTGAATGGAAGGGTGATATTTATATGTATTCTTATTTTATTAATTTCTTTGAATGATTTTAAACGCAAAAAAAAAGAAAAGAAAAAAAGTAGTTACCCTAAGGAGCTGTGATGCTATTGAATATAATACTTGATATCCATAGATTGCACTTCTAAATATACTGCTCTTTTAGATCATAAAAAATAGAGTAGGATGCAATACAAGTATATCCGCAGCGTTAGATTATTACCCTATTTACCATATTTACCGGGATATTATAAAAATACCCTCTGCATGTCACCGTTCAGAGACTAAGTCACAACACCCTCACACAGCCACAGTTCTTAATGTTGCATTTTCTATAAGTTTGCACTGTGTTTATAAAGCAGGTACAGGGTGGACTTGCCCCCTTGTCTAGGGTGTAAGTAGAAGGTAGGAAAGGTTAGGTTTGGATTTTGGGTTCGCATGTTTTCCTGGATTTGGGACTTCATATCTGGAGGGTGCATTGCTCTTGGTAACAAATACTGTTGTGGCTATTTCCTGGTATATTTCAGAGCCCTCTCAGCTAGCAGGGCCAGTATCATGGCTATAGTTGGTTTGTGGGACTAAAACTGGTGTCTGAACAGTGCATATCGAAGACAATCCACCAAATCAAAGATTATATCAAAGATTATAATATCTTTGATGCTCAGTTTTATGTAGAATAACAGAAAGTGCATAATTAATGTATGAGGGTTATTATATTGTCAACTGGTTGCTGAACTGTTATTTAATTAATCTGAGGTTCATTGACATTTCTAAACTTAATTGTGATAGGATTTCATTGTGCTGAACCAAGTCATGTGCCAGGGTTTTATTGCAGTCAGCCACTCAAGCAAAAAACTAGAAGCAAGGGGAAGACATAGTTACCCTGCTGTGTGTGTGTTTGGCTATAGCATAAGCAATTGAGACCGAAACAAGGTTTTCACCCCAATATTGAGGGGCTGTAGTTATGTACCCAGAGATAAACAAGCAAACAAATTTTAGGAAGCACAACCAGGAGCATATCTTCACAGTGCAAGAGAAGTATTCAGTTGTGTCTTTGTCGTGTATTTCTCCCTCTCTTCTTGAAACTGCTCAAATATATCATCTTTGCTGTGAAAGTATTAATTCTCATTCATACCTTTTTCTACATGAAAAGAGGGTGACAAACTTTACCTTCCCAAAATATACTCTTGATTTTAAAGAGCATTCTGGAATGTCTGATAAGAAGAATGCAAATGTGAAACTATTTGGAAAATTAAACTAGAATTTAGAAACAGAAGTTAATTGAACTCACATTTGTACAAATGATATCACTTTCTGACAAATAGACAATAAACTCTTCAATATTATTGGTTGCATAAAGTTGGTGGTTATTCCTCTGTCATTCCAGGTTTGATAGGAGAAGTGATTGTACATGATCTTTATTATTATACTTTTATTTGCATTATTTTTAGTTATTGGTTATTATTGTTGTTAAATTTCCAGTGGACTTTCATGATTAACCTCTTCTGTTTTTTCCAGGAAGTCACCATACCTGTGCCCCCGCCCCCCAAGGACTGTGCAAGAACTGACGACAGAAGATTATGGGTTGGGAATTTAGACAGTCGATTAAGAGAGTAAGTAAGCCAAGTCTTGATTGTTAATAATTCCCATCAATGAAAGAGTATTATCGAAAAGAATTTACACATAAAACTAAATTTGTTAAGTTCATTTAGGATGATATTTTATTTATAAATCCTACCTTTTGGCTATTTATGTATTAAAGTTGTTTGAAATATTTTTATATCATAGGCTTTCTCTCATTTACTTGAGGTCATAGCTGTATGATTTATTTTTTGGGTTTATAGCATTTTTGTGATACATTTCACACCATTAGTGCTTCCAGTAGTGCATATCTAATCTAGGTGCTCTCTCTCCCCAATTGGTATCAACTCCTCAAAATGGTGGAAAACTTTGGACCACTGGTGGAATTCGACTTTCTTTATCATCGATCGGGCCCTCAAGCTGGGCAGCCTCGCGGATATGCCTTTGTGACGTTTAAATCCCCTGATTGTGCGCAGGCAGCAATGACCACTTTAGATGGGAAGAACGTCTTAGGTCGGAGGATGGCGGTCAAGTGGGCACACGCGCAGGACGAGGTAAAGGCGATAGGTGGTGTCTCTTGACTCTGTGTAAGGGATACCATATCATTCTTTTTGTCTTTTTTTCTGTATGTCCAAATATTTTTTTGCTTGTGAGATTTTCTTTGAGTTATTCTCATTTTATTTTGAAAATATTGTCTAGGCATTGTAACCATATTGTGCTCTCTGTCTCTGTCTCTGTCTCTGTCTCTGTCTCTGTCTCTGTCTCTGTCTCTGTCTCTGTCTCTGTCTCTGTCTCTGTCTCTGTCTCTGTCTCTGTCTCTGTCTCTGTCTCTGTCTCTGTCTCTGTCTCTGTCTCTGTCTCTGTCTCTGTCTCTGTCTCTCTCTGTCTCTGTCTCTGTCTCTGTCTCGTCTCTGTCTTGTCTCTGTCTCTGTCTTGTCTCTGTCTCTGTCTCTGTCCTCTGTCTCTGTCTCTGTCTCGTCTCTGTCTCTGTCTTGTCTCTGTCTCTGTCCTCTGTCTCTGTCTCTGTCTCTGTCTCTGCTCTGTCTCTGTCTCTGTCTCTGTCTCTGTCTCTGTCTCTGTCTCTGTCTCTGTCTCTGTCTCTCTCTCTCTCTCTTCTCTCTCTCTCTCTTCTCTCTCTCTCTCTCTCTCTCTCTCTCTCCTCTCTCTCTCTCTCTCTCTCTCTCTCTCTCTCTCTCTCTCTCTCTCTCTCTCTCTCTCTCTCTCTCTCCTCTCTCTCTCTCTCTCTCTCCTCTCTCTCTCTCTCTCTCCTCTCTCTCTCTCTCTCCTCTCTCTCTCTCTCTCTCTCCTCTCTCTCTCTCTCTCCTCTCTCTCTCTCTCCTCTCTCTCTCTCTCCTCTCTCTCTCTCTCTCTCCTCTCTCTCTCTCTCCTCTCTCTCTCTCTCTCTCTAATATCCCTCCCTTTCCCTCTCTCTCCCTCTCTCCCATCACATCCCCCTTGTCTTCTCCTTCCCTCCCTCTTTCACATGTCCCTCTCTCCTTCCTTCATTCCTTCTTGTCACACCCTCCCTCCCTCCCTCCCTCCCTCCCTCCCTCCCTTCCTTCCTTCCTTCCTTCCTTCCTTCCTTCCTTCCTTCCTCCCTCCCTCCCTCCTTCCCTTCCTTCCTTCCTTCCTTCCTTCCTTCCTTCCTTCCTTCCTTCCTCCTTCCTTCCCCCCTCCATCATTGTTTCATTTTGTTATCTAGCATTGCTTAAAGTATCTACCTGCTTTCAGAGTATGTATGAAAGAACAAAGGAAAAACCTGCTCCACCCATCCTTAGTGGAGGGAAAGGGGAAACCAGTCAAGTAAGGTGAGTCTCTCCTCTTTTTCTCCTTTTTTTTTTTGTATATATTTGTTTCTTTTTCTTTATGCAGATCAATACATGTGTGTGTGTGTGTGTGTGTGTGTGTGTGTGTGTGTGTGTGTGTGTGTGTGTGTGTGTGTGTGTGTGTGTGTGTGTGTGTGTGTGTGTGTGTGTGTGTGTGTCTGTGTGTGTGTGTGTCTGTCTGTCTGTCTGTCTGTGTGTGTGTGTGTGTGTGTGTGTGTGTGTGTGTGTGTGTGTGTGTGTGTGTGTGTGTGTGTGTGTGTGTGTGTGTGTGTGTGTGTGTGTGTGTGTGTATGTGTGTTAACAAATATGGTCTTAGAAGTTCATCACTTCTATCACGTATAATTTCCCTTTTCTTGCAGCAAGAAGAGCAAGATTGCTGCTCTTGAGGCCAAGTTAAAGTTACTGGAGGAGGACAGTCTGAAGGTGGACCTCATGCCAGATGTGGGGGCTGCATCCTCAAGGCCAACCTCTGTCACATATGCCTTCATAGAGCAGAAGCCCAGAGGACAGAAAGGTGCACCTAAGCAACACACTGCCAGTCATCCCTACCACCGATCGAAACCCACCAGAAAACACTGAACCGCGGTGCTGAATGGTGGAGAATCTTATCATCATTGCAATGCTTCCGTTTGTTGACAGATGGAACATTTGACACATTCTCTGGCTTTTTCTATTTTGGGCTAGTTTCACATTGTCACCTCTTTACATATTTATTCCATGGTGTTGCCTTAATGACACTGAACTCTATGTTGTACATATCAAATCATGCACTATTCTCATAACATTCAAATCATTATTTTAGGACAGTGTTTGTGCAAATGTTTATGCTAGTGACTGATACCGATGCATGGTTGTTGTTTTGGTTGCTTATTTATTGTTAGGGTGAAGAGTGTAAGGATCATATATGATTACATACAAGCAGCCATTTGTTAGCCCTAATAGTAACACCAGAAACCTCTGAGAGTATCCTTTGTAGGTAGGAATTGCAGTTTACACATATATTTCATAAGAGAGGTAGAAGATATGTATATAATTTTTCTTTGAACATACTGGCTTATTATTACATTAATTGTATTAAGTATTACTTTTTTTATTATAGAGAGGCACACTTGAGAGGCAGTAAAAATGCACCAAAAGTATTGTGTTTTTTATTTAGATTATTTATAAAAAATAAACAAGAACGGTATAGATTAGTGTCAGTATTAAACAGAGATGAACGTTCCTTGTTTATTCTTACCAAATATAGAATTATAATCCCAGTATATTTATTTCAGTTTTATTCCTTTTAGCAGATAGTCACACAAACACCCATTTGTTAAAGTTGCATCTTTTTACATCTTTGTTGCCTCAGAATGAAAATGCAGGTGCTTTGTTCTTACATTTGAGGAAACACCTGTAAAAATATGTTGTCTATCAATATACAGCTTATTGTCTGAAATGAGCTGACTGTATGTGTGATATTTTAGTCTCATGCACTAGCAGAAAAAAATCATATGCTTGGAAAGGAATTCCTTATATTTTTTCACAGATACCTCATAGTTCACAGGTTTTGCAGAAGTAGCTTTTTTAGGAAAAAAAAGCATGAAATGGTCATTAGTCAGAGGTATTTAGATGTTAACCCATGAAGGATGTTGTTCTTAGATATGTGTACAAACTGGATGAAATACTGCAAAAAATGTCCTTGCTATAAATATCTATTTTATAAATATCCCAATTAAAGTGATTTCAGCCGAAATAATTGTGTATTAACTCAGTGTTGCTGGGAAAATGCTGTGCTCAATTTAAATTTTTTTGTGAAATGTCTCTGCACATAGATGGCTCTGTAAGTGCTTAGCCCCAAAGGAGTCATTTAGTAAACCTTGTGACCTTTACTAATGCTATGAATATAGATGGTGTTACTTTTATCATAGACATTATAATTACTATAATGTGATTGACATTAGTAACAGCAATATAAAATAACATAAAATATTTTCGAAAATTAAGGAAAAGGGTAAACAGTACTTGTAATGGGCTCATTGGTGACTTAGTACAAGTGTAGCCATCTGTGTGTAAAAAAATTAATGAAGTAAACTCACTTTGGGCATGGTGTGTATGTATATGCCATGCCCATCAGCTCTGGGTTAAAGAGCATTTTCCCACTCAGTATGTACACGAAACTCTGAACTGTGCCATCCTTGAGGGGTCACTTGGTGGGCAGGGATATTACAATTCCTTTTCTCGAAAGCCACCTCTTACATCACAGGGAGACTGTGATAAAAATGTGTATACCCAAACATATTCTGCCTTGAGGCCATCATTCTCTGGTGTGCATAATGACTATCGCTGCAAGTTCTCCGATTTTGTGATACTGGAAAGTATTTCTTCATACAGTGATTGTCTCGGATCAAACTTGAAGCACACTTGTGTTGGCTTCATTTAATTTGTTTTTCTGCAATCTCAGGCTTTGCAAGTGTACTTTTAATGTATATTCAGAAGGATGCAGTGCATTCTGATCTTGTAACTCTATGCCTAGAAAGGTTATTAAGGTGTAATACCAAAGGGAGTGTTTGTTTACCTAAGAGATACAGCAGTTTCTCCAGTGTTGTTTATGTGAGGTGTCCATGCTAACAGGGAGTTAGAAAACGTATCACTGGACGTTTGCTTTAAATATACTGTGGTGATGTCTGTTAAAAAGATAACTGCATACTAATTACTGCTAAGACGGTAATATTAACAGTATTCAATTTTGATTTACATTCAACAAGGTGCAGGTTTTATGCCAATAAATTATAGCTTTTCTGTTAGACCCCACACACTTAATAAAAATATCTTATTATTATGATGCTATTGAAGAGTAACTTCCAGAATTAAAGTAAAGCTCACACTATGTCAAGATAAACCATATATGATAAACCTTTAGTGAAATAATACTGTAGGTAAGTGATTACACATGTAATAATTAGATTATATGAGTGAGTGGTATCATATCTCATCAGTTAAACTGTGGGTTTTCCAAACCACTAAGTGCTAACGTTTTTAGTTCATTGTATCAAGGTCATGACACAACTTTTTAGAATATTAAATGGCAAGATGAAGTTATAATCTCTGATGCCGGGATTCCTTTCTTCCTTTGGGGTATGTTGCGCCCAAAATTACACTTCATGATGCCTTTTTGTGTATAGTTTTATTTATTGATTTTCTTTTATATAATTTTTATACAATTTTATGAATGACCAGAAAAAATGTAGTATTAGTGAGAAAATATGGAAAAAATAATATTCTTTTAAATGTATTGCTAGTGTTTTTGTACCCCATATCATAAATACACTACAGTATGGCAAGTTTTCTTATGATTAATGTTAGTAATACTTTCATACATGTATACTTGCCCCTTAGATGTTGGTGCCAATATTCTTTGGTGCTAAATACATGTTTTAAGTCAAGTTCCTATGTGGGCAGTGAAAGATTACTGACTTGGGATGGCCCTCTGATTTTCTCGATGGCATATGCGCCTCTGTGTGAAGAGCATAACACATTCATGCATACACAGGGCTGTCTTAACAGCATTATAGGCCCTTGGGTGAAATATTTCACTGGAGCCTCTGTGTATGCAACCCCTCACAGAAATAAGATTAAACATGTAGTTGTTGTATTGGTACTTCAACAAAATCAGTGCTAAAAAACTTATGTATAGGAAATATTAAATCAGCACAAACATCTGACCAATATTTCATATAATGTCTTTATCTATTGACAGTGTCCCAATTTACAGAGATATGTGTGGAGCCCCTATGCCCATGGGCCCTTGGGTAACAGCCCAGTGTGCCTATGCTTTAAGACAGTGCGTCTGTGCATGTGTGTATCTATCTATACTTAGTATCTAAATCACAGCCTTCTTTAAGAAAAATAATAAAATGCTTAATATCATATCTGTCTTCAATGTCATTGTCAATATAAATGTATATCTGTGTCACTGCGATGATTGCTGTTCTTACATCAGCCATGCTAGCTAAGTGACAACGTCCCTAAATCACTTTCATTTCAGTGCTAAAGTGCATGGTGATAGCTTATTCAGATTAAGTGAATGACTTTTTTCATTGGAGGTGGGACTAGGGTCACATTGCACCCCCCTTCCTGTTGATAGATATTTCCTTTAGTGCATAACAGTGTGGAGAGTGGGTGTGGCGCTTGTTCCCACCACATGGGGTTTGTGTAATGGGATTTTGAATATTTTCTTTCTATCATTGGTTAAATCCGTGAATTTGATTTATGTGAGTGAGAAATAATTTGTTTAAGGAATACTTTAAATACATACTCATTGACTTGTGGATTTGATTTTTGTGAGTGAGAAATTATTATTATTATTAATATTCAAATATTTTCAATATACAGTTTGTTAAATTTGCGTATGTAAAACCTGTAGTTGAGAAGGATAGACGTTATTTATGTTTCTGCAAGAAATCATCACTCTTGAGAACCAAATTTAGAGACACCAGCTGACAGAGAATAGTGGGTGGACGATATATATATATATATAAATATATATATATATATATATATATATATATATATATATATATATATAGAGAGAGAGAGAGAGAGAGAGAGAGAGAGAGAGAGAGAGAGAGAGAGAGAGAGAGAGAGAGAGAGAGAGAGAGAGAGAGAGAGAGAGAGAACCTAAAACTTGATAACGTTCCTCAGGGATCGTGAATTTGATTATTGGCAAGGTCAGGAGCGACGGCTTAGTCGCTATAGGATTTGCAGCGATATCAGTGAAGGATTTATTTGCCGAAATCTTTAATGACGAAGAGGTTAAGCCACATGGTAGTACAAAGGTTCCCTGCAACAATCTATCTGGCTGAAGCCACAAGCAATTGTGGTGGCTGTTGACTGATAGAAATATAGCAATGTCATCTGCGAAAGGCTGAACATTAAAGGTAAGATCTGATCTTTCATTTCATGGAAGGAATAACAGCATGGGCACAAGATGGGCTTGAAAAGATGAAGGCATTGGCAAAAAAACAAAACAAAAACACACGAACATGTCCTTAGCAGGCTTTGAACAGGTGTTTAAAAAGTCGGAGGATGTTAAGGACAGAGCATGTAATGCGAGTTTGTTTGTTTTGTGTGGTAGTGGTGTGCGCACGATAAGCCCTAAGCATAGTAGGAGACACTGGAATAATGACAGACAACCCAGAGACATTGAGGAATTACTTCAGGCTAGCGTAAGACCAAGTGCGCTGTTTAAGAGGGAAGAGAATCTTGATAGAGAAAGAAGATACATTTTTAAGTGCCGCGTCCATGTGAAATCAAGCTCGGCACCACCTCGCTGAATGAGGACTATTGCCAAGTTATGCATTCGACGTGTAACAATTATGATTAAAGCAGTTGGACGAGAAATATTTACCGTCCCTACAAGTTGACCGACTTCACCTCTAATATTGTTGAAAGCAGAAGCTAATTCCTGAGCATTGTACACATGCGCGTTTACAGCATGAACAGCCGAGTCGAAACTGTGAGCTACAGACGATAAGCTTTCCCTATATTTCCTGAGTTCGGATGTAAGAGCGTCGTCATCCATATCCTACGAAACTGAATAATCCTCGCCGGGCCTTATCTGCAGACTTGAGAGGCCCCACGAAGGAATCCAACTCTGCAATCCTCGAGGATTAGATACGATGAATAGGCGAATGTCGTGTGCCTGAAGACAAGAATCAAGAGCAAGATTTTCACGAAGAGAAAGTAATCGGTCCCTGTGATAGCATAAGCTACGGCGTGGAATAAGAACCGGGCCTCCATATGGTTTCTTATGGGGTAAACCTTCAACAGGTCCTCATTTATAGCCCCAGGTGCGTCTCCCCCTTCACGCGGCAGGCGATGAGAGCCTCCTCCCATGAGGAGTGCCACAAAGATTATAAACGACAGCATCCTAGAAGGAGGAGCCAGAAGTCACTCACCACTCGCAAGACAAGCATGAAAGAATATTATATCACATAAAAGTCATGCTGTATCACCATAGTCTGAAAATGAGCAATGCAGGTGATACACACATCCGCAGATAATCAAGTGCATTATAATAGCAATAAATTACACTGTTTCTCAAAAATAAACAACAAAACTCTACTGACTGACACTGATAATCCCTTTTTTAGTCAGCTTCAGGACGTCAAAATACAACTACTGCATAGAGCCATCGGCGACAGACTTCAATCTGCCGTGTTGTTCGTTACTGTTACAACTCTGTATGGTCCCACAAATAACGGCATGAGCTTAGACCGAATAGCATTATAAGAATGCTTTTTCTTAGATATCAAAGAACCAACTTGATATTCTTTGTACGATCGATTTTATGCTAGTACATAATTATTTTACCATGCGACCTGGTCAGGAGCACCTTTGCTTGTTAAAACGCTTGCTGCTGCCGAGAAACGAATAATCAACATAATTGTCCGCATTGAGGGTGCATGGCCTCATCTCCAGGAGTTCGTAACGTGCAAAGCAACCTTTGATGGAACCACCACTAACTCGCAGTAGATAGAAAAATTGTCCACAAATAAGAGTATGTGTTTGTTACCAGACCGTGATGTGGTGAAACCAGACAGTGTCATATGATACTTTCTGGAAAATCTGGAACGTTGAACATAAGTGCGGGCGCGGGATCGCTTGTGTGACCTTTGTACACGTCTTGCAAATCCTAATGTGTTTTCCTACCCTTCGTTACTAACTGCGGAAAATAAAATCGGTTGTCGTTCAGCTGCACTGCCTTATGAATACCACAATGCGCTGATTCACGGGATTCATGAGGATACTTCAACACACGCGGCAATAAACCTTTCCTCAACAGACCTGCCGGATGAGGTTTACGTAGGCTAGCTTCGCCCGGACTCACCGTAGTGGCCGCTTCAACCGCCACAAAACAAGCAAGAGGCATAATCTTCTCACGAGCCGCTTCGGAGGGTGGTCCCTGTCTCAGAAATTGTCTGTGCTCGGCTCGCCACAGTGCTTGCAACAATTGCCTGCATAGTCCATTGTCTCGATAATTTGCCATGCGCAGTGGTAGCCTAGTCGGATTCGGAGAAGATTGACTTCAGCACCTCTTTTGAGTGTTGCAGAGAGTGTCAGGGGATCATAGTCTGTGGCCTCTGAGTGCCATCTGAGCGAGGGGGAGGTTCTCGCTTTCTCCCTGTATAGCTGCAGGAGAGTGGCTTTTCTGTGGCTGTGGACATGTGCTTTAAGATTTTTTTCGGCTTGGGTGAATGAGCATGGGATTCGGGGCATACCCCTGTCAATTTCAGCTAGTCTGTTAGCAAGCTCATTCCCTCTGATCTCTATGTGGCTGGGGACCCAGCTTATGATACTTCTACCTTGAACAAGAATCATTTGCGGTATGGTAAGCACAGTGGTCAGGAGATAGATGTTGTCATTAGGCATGCTGTGCTGCAGACTGTTCATAGCTGCCCTAGAATCTATATGCACAACCATGTGTCCTTCTCTCTGGGACGCGTGGGTTAGGGCTCCCATGATCGCAACTGCCTCTGCCTGTAGCGATGAGGATGGATGAGGATGGATGATGTGGCATCCCTTGCTGCAAAGCCGGCGCCTACAGTGTGGCTCAAGGGATCGAGTGATCCATCCGTGAAGTAGGTTCTACTACTTGGAGGAGTGATGGCCATTCCCTGGACACGCAGACTTGTACCGTGTCCAGTATATCTCAAAGCCATTGCCTTTGATTTAGCTGCAGGAATTTTAAGCTTGTCCTACAACACTCCTCAGACACAAGGTCCAGACAATGTTAGGCTCTTTTTAAGCAATTTTGAACAGTGGAGATGATGGCAAGATTGTCTGCATTGCAGATGATCTTGCACCCCTCTGAGAGGTGTATGTTGACGACGCAGGTCATTAAGGTGTTGAAAAAGGTTGGATTAAAGACCCCACCCTGTGGCATTCCGTTTTCTAGTGGCATGTGCTGTGGTAGGTGACCTTGGATTCTGACTTTGGCCATCTATCCAGGGCAAGAATTTTCCTCTGATTCCATTTTGGATCAGGGAATAGTAAGAGAACTTGCTAGTTCAAAAGCCTTCTCTAGCCCGTTTACCTCTGACTGAGGGCGTGATGTGTGCATCTGGGAGCTGAGCGGTTGGTGGCTCACCTGACCCGTTTCCACAGCTTTGTAAGGGTGGTCTGGTGGCCAAAGGACTTGCACCACTCCAGCCACTTTTCCTGTCTGATCCTCCTGGCAATTTCCTTGGCATCCCCGACAACTTCCCTCAGAAGGGCTAGATTATCAGGGATTTTCTACCTTCGCGAATGTTTTCTGCACATGATAACTCTGTGGCTGACCTCCTTTACCTCATCATTATAGTACCAAGCGTCTCTGTAACTGCTGGACCAAGGCAAAATTTTATGAATGACCTGTGATGCTGTTTGATTAATGGCACTG